ACAGGGCTTATACCGAGTTCAATATTGTATAACTATTAATTCAACTGCGAACCTAGAAACTTACAGCCACTTGTGAAAGAGATGTACTTTTGCTCTGGTACTGAATACTGAATGTGTTAAAGCTGTAGTGAAAAGCTTCTAATCATGTAGTTATTAAAAATTAAAAAAGTATAATGATTAAAAAAAATAAAGTTTGGAAGACTCCGGAGAAAAAAAAAGACCAAAAAGAAAGAAGAAAAAAGAAAAGTAAAAACAATCCCCAAGAACTGTTACAGAAAGTCTCCCATAATTCTAAGAAACTATTTACTAGGTTGGTGTTAGCACCAATAGACTCAGCAGTTTACAAAAAAAAATCAATTTTGGTTTTTGGTTTTAGACAAAAACAATGCCAGTTCTTGCTGTTAAACTTTAGGAGTATTAAAGTATCTTGGATGCTTGTTCTAAGAGAACGTAACTGGGTGACAGTGACTTTTAGGACTCGGTTTATGAAATAGTATGAATCCGTTCTATTTTTGTCACAAGCTAGTCAAACAAAAGGTAAAACAAAATTCTAATTGCATTTTTGTTTCAAAGCAGTTGGTTTTTCTGATTGTAATTCCGCCTTTTCTGTGTAGTTGTCAGCCTTGTACTGCTTTTCTTCTCTGGGACTTTGGGCTAGTTTACTTGGTAGAGCAGTAGTATCAAAGTTCTGTCGACAATGTCTTTATTCCCAGGTATAAAGATAACTCTCAGTATGAAAATTACAGTGTCTTTGTTTTTCAGTAGGTTTCTTGCCAGACACCTGAGGTAGCACAGTGTAGCAGTCCTCGCTTGTCCTTCTAGCACAGCCTTTTCCACAAGGCTTTTGGTTTCATTAGTGAGCTCTGAGTTAGTTCCTTCCAGGCTTGGCCTAGATTTTAGTTTTGTTTTTTAAAAATATTTTTAAATATTTTATTATTTTTATTTTATGTGTATGAGTATATTGTCTGCATGTAGGTAGGTAAGTGTACCTGTGTCATGCCAGTGCCTGTGAAGGTCAGAAGAGGCTGTCGGATCCCCTGGAACCGGAGTTACAGACAATTGTTAGCTGCCATGTGGGTGCTGGGATTTGAACCCGGGTCTTCTACAAGAACAGCCAGTGTTCTTAACTGTTGAGCCATCTCTCCAGCCCCAGATTTTAGTTTTTATGGTAGATTTTGCTCTTCAAACTTGTTTATTCAATATTAAGAAAATTTCAAGGCTTTATTTTCTCATTTTTGACAGTATATGGATGACTTTTTTAATCATCTCTTTTAGTAAACTAATGGTAAGTAATGTTAAAGCATAAGAAGCTAAAGTTAAGGAAGCTGTCACTATTGTGATTTCAGATAAAACTTTTTTTTTTTTTTTTTTGTTGAGACAGGGTCTCTCTGTAGCCCCAGCTGGCCTGAAACTCACTTTGTAGACCTTGAACTCAAAGAGCTCCGCCTACCTCTGCCTCCCCAGTGCTGGGATTAAAGGTGTACCCCCCCCACTGGATAAAACATTTTTTATTCCTGCCTTCATAAAATTTTGAAAGTCTTTTGATACAGTTTATAACTTTATTTAGAATTGTAGTTTGTATACAGTGTGAAATTCTTGTGAATTTCTATTGCATTGATTAGATGTAATTGTTCCTTTTTATATATTATTGTTTTGACTATTGCTTATCTATATCTAATTTCATCCTCAAGGACTCTGAATAATCAATTTCAGGTTCTTTCTGAAATTCTCTGGAAAAGAATTTTCAGGTAGATAAAATTGAAGAAATATTCAATGTTAAAACGAATAGCTTTGAGTCCTTTTTATATGGATAAGCAGCGGAGGTTACAAAACCAAGCTAAAACAAGAGATTTTAACAGTGAAGTTTAAACTATACATTGATTTTGCGGCAAGCATAAGGGAACTTGGAGAAGGCTGGTCCTATTTGGGATCTCCGTCTCATGATGGATCCACTGTCTGGTCAGAACAGAGGGTACGCATTTATCACCATCTGTGGAAAGGAAGCTGCCCAGGAAGCAGTTAAATTGTGTGACAGCTATGAAATTCGCCCTGGTAAACACCTTGGAGTGTGCATTTCTGTGGCAAACAACCGACTTTTTGTTGGATCCATTCCAAAGAATAAGACTAAAGAAAACATTCTGGAAGAGTTCAGTAAAGTCACAGGTAAAACAAAACTGTATTTAGAATTAGTTTGCAGAAATCTGTTGTATTATTTGTAAAATGTTTAAGTTCCCCTAAAGGAGATGACTACTAAACTAGGAATTAACATTTCCATATCTGAGTTGCTTCCTTTCTGCTTATAGCCGGGCTAAACTCCTGAGTGTTGCTGATTTTACAGAATTTTTCTTTTACTTTGTCTTAATTGAAACTTGGCCTTTGCTGGAGCCTTTACTCTCTAGCCGTTAAATGAAAGCTTTTTCTTCCAGTAAGCATTGTGCTTCAGGATTAGGGAGAGGAGAGTTAATTCTTCCTATTGACTTGTCTAGATGATTTAATATATTTTCTAATTTTAAATCTGTGGAGTTGATTGAGAAGTATATTTTATATAACAGGTAACATTAATTGTGTGACTGGTGCATGCCTATATTTCTAGCACTTGGGAGGTAGAGGCAGGAGGATCAGGAGTTTGTCAGGGCCAGCCTTGACTACATAACTAGAGGGCATAACAACCTGGGACACATGGGACCTTACCTCAAAGAACAACAAAACAAATGATATTTATATGCAATCTTTTTATAAGGTAATAAGATCATATTTTTAATTATTACAAATGATTCATCCTATTTTTTATTCCAACTTTTAAAATGTTGAGATTTGGCAAGATGGCTCAGCAAGGAGGGTGCTTATTGCAGGCCTGATGACCTGAGTTCAGTCCCCAAATCCCACACATCAGCAGGAGAGAACTGATCTCTGAGCGATGCCCTCTGATGTCCACACATGGGCATTGGGCCTTCCCTCTTCCCCTTTCCCTTCTTCTCCTCCTCCTCCTGCTCATCTTCTTTTTCTTCTTCCTCCTCTCTCTGATACACACACACACTAAATAGATAAGAAAAAAATGTTGAGATTGACTGATTACTATTGTGATTTGAACACACTATTGTAGCCTACTGCCTCCACTTATGAAAACCAGTATTCTGTGTTTTTGTCATCCAAACAGACCACCGTCTCAGCCCTTCCTTGAAGCTGTCATCTATTGTTCTTCTGGTTTCGCCCTTTCTTTAACCTGAAGATTACTCTGGGCTTAAATTCTTTAGCTTGTGTCCTAAATTGATTTATTCTTAGTATCAGTATGAATGACCTATCTAAGGCCAGACTCTGGGTTTCTTGATCACTTTATTTCTAGTCCTTTACCTCAGTTCTTCATGTCCTGAATGCATCTGGATCTTTTCACTAGAAATTCTACTCAGTCTGCAATCTTGACCTCCCCCTAATGCCCATTGTAATTATGTTAGTCAATTCCTTGCAGACACAGATTATTAGCAGTTCTTTCCAGCTTCTTCTACTCACTCTTTCAGCAGGTGCCTAAAATGCCTGCTAAATAGTGGAATTCAAAGGTGAATAAGGGACCTGGTCTTTGTCATCTCCATTCTGGGAAAGGAGTTAAGACCAAACAATTAAGTATTTCCTCATTCTGGTAAAATACTTTGAAGGAGTAAATACAGATTATCTACAAAATAACTACTATATCTGTTTCCATGGTTATGGATAGATTTTTCTGATTAAGTGATAATTCTTTATTTGTTTGAGGCAGGGTCTTCCTGTAACTGAGTGCTGGAAGTAAAGGCATGCGCCCTCCCCAGGCCTAGCTGATACGGCGATATTTCAAGCAGTAAGAGCAAGCATGTCAGATGTCCAAACCAAGAAAGAATTTGGTATATTAAAATAGTGTTCTTCAGAAGGTGAAATGAAAAGCAGAGTTACATGAGATGAAGTTGGCAGTGTTCTTGGAGATGGTATAAATCCATCTAGGGAAATGAGATGGGAAAAAAAAGTAAATGTGCTTGGAATTGGATAGGAGAAATGAACTAAAAATGTTGAGAATATCTTAACGTTTTCCAGTTTGAGGACTTACCTAGTGGATAGCATTGTTTATTAGAGAGGGGAGCCTGGGGAAAGTAGATTTGGGGTGTAGTAGTGCTGTTCAGGACATAAGAAATCTGTCTAGGACATCAAACAGGACATGTAAGCTGGAGCTTAAGGTAAGACTGGACTCCAAATCTAAGCATTTGTTTGTAAGGGTACAGATAGTATTTAGAATTAGGGCTAGCTCACAGAACCTAGAAAGAACATACATGGGAGGAGGACAAAGGCAAAGGACTAAAATTGGAGAAGAGTAAGCCAGCACCTTCGTTGTTGATGAAAGCAGTAGCTGCGAGCAATAATGAAGGTTCTTTCTGTCGCGATTAGTTGTTGAAAGTTAGTTCTTTCGCATTTATGTGAATAATTGGGGTTTTGAGGTCCTGATACTGCTATTCTAAATTATGAACTCATGTATGCCAATTACTTGAAAATGTTGTAGAATAATGTCAAAATGTAGTAGTGGGACCTGTTGTATATGGCTCCACTTTTAGAACCCTAAAATCAATAGGGAACATATAATATTGTCCCAAACCTCATATCTGATAATGCTGATCTAATGTTAACTATTTTGAGGCTTCTTCAATGACATTTTTTTTTGCTCATTGGCAAGTGGATTTAGGTCTACCTATTCGCTAGACGTGTGGTGGATGCTTTTGGCTTATATATCTGGCTGTTGGTTTAACAGAGGGTTTGGTGGACGTTATTCTCTATCATCAACCCGATGACAAAAAGAAGAATCGGGGGTTCTGCTTCCTTGAATATGAGGATCACAAGTCAGCAGCACAAGCCAGACGCCGGCTGATGAGTGGAAAAGTAAAAGTATGGGGAAATGTAGTCACAGTGGAATGGGCTGACCCTGTGGAAGAACCAGATCCAGAAGTCATGGCCAAGGTAAATACAGCTTCCTGGGGGTGGGAGCAGGTTATCACTTCAATTTTGTGCTCCAAATAAAGCTCAAAATTTGTGATAATAAATACAAATAATAGCTCTTGACTATAATTGATGATTCAGTGTTGAAAGTGGTGACCCGTCTTGTTACCTAGTTAATTTCCACTAATCCTTTTCCTACAGATCAGATATGCCAAAGGAATGGAAACTAAATCTCCTCAATTATTTAATATATACCATGTATTTATTTAGTGTTAGACACCATGAAGAATACAATTCAGTGCCTGCTTCCCCTTCCCTTTTTTCTTTTTAGACAATCTTTCTATTCAGACCATATTGGCTGGAGCTTACTGTGTAGCCTAGGTTGGCCTTGAACTCAAATCCTCTGCTGCAATCTCCTGAGTGCTGGTAATGCAGGCATGTACTGCCCATACTGTGACTTTTTTTTTTTTTTTTTTCTTTTTTAGACAGCGTCTCCTTGTAGCCCCAGCTGGCCTGGAACTCACTATGTAGACCAGGCCTGGCCTAGAACTCACAGAGCTCTGCCTGCCACTGCCTCCTGAGTGCTGGGATTAAAGGCGATTGTGACTCTTATTACATGGCCATGAATTATATTTTATTTAGATTTATAGGTAATTTCTTATTTTAATATGCCCAGTTTCCTTTAGAGTATTATCCCCATGAAGAAAGGCAAAGGATTGTTATGCTTGGTGTTACTTGATAGTGGCAAAATATGCACGACTAATCTTATAGAGGGCTCTGTCTCCTTGTTCTACACTTAAACATTGTCAGGATCTTTGCTTGAGTCAGGCCGTGCTGTGAGTCCTGGCTCTTAGGCTTTCCTTTAGGTAACTCCTGGGATTGAAGGCCTGTTTCAGAGTTGCATGTGCTGCTTGCAGTGAGTTCTTGAGTACTTTGGTATGGCTTTTCCCTCGGTGAGGCAAGCAACTTTATGGTTATAAATTAGTGGTTGGGTGCTTCATGACTGGAAATTTTTTGCTTTGAGCTTTTTATTCCAGATTTTGAGGAGGTAGATGGTCACTCTAGTTTGGAGAACCCTGATTTATACCAGTATGGTATAGAGTCTTTGTATGCAAAGACATCTTTGGATCAAGACCCATTGAGAATAAAATGGAGAGGCTCTCCGGAGCGCTGCTCAGTGTCTTCTATCTGCTAGTCCTTTCCTAGATGAGAATCTAGGAAGAGACTTGAGAGTTAAAATAGACATGTTTTTTTTACTTTCTTTAATTAGCTTGATTTCAATTCCTGTTGTTTCTTCTAGTACATAATGGCTTTGAGGTAACTTTAGATGTCTTCTGATTTATTTGGGCTGGATAAGTCTCTTAAGATACCCTACAGCTTTGAATCCACCAATACAAGCAAAGCATAATGCTCTGTTGCTTTTTAAAACAAAGATATCGAAGAGTAAAAGGGTGTATTTTGTATTAGGGCACAATAAAATCTGGAAGTCTCACAGTACAGCTAGTAATTTGCTTTATCCATCACTTTTTAAAAATTAAATACTTTATTATTTTTATGTGTACGCGTATATTGCCTGTGTGTCGGTAAGTGCACCCGTGTTGTGAAATCCCCATGGAGGACAGAAGAGGCTGTCATATCCCCTGGAACTGGAGTTAGGACAGTTGTTAGCTGCCATGTGGGTGCTGGAATTCAAACCCTGGCCTTTTGCAAAAACAACCAGTGTTCTTAACCACTGAGCCAGCTCTCCAGCCCTTATTGATCATTTTTTTACCTATTGCCTTCTACCTTTGAGGTAGAAGTCCATCCTAAATTCTTCCAACCCCGTCAGAAAACCTCAAGATTTTAATATTGTAGCTATGTTTTTCTAGCTTAAATGGGTTTCAGGAGGGCTGGGGATGTAGGTAGAGTACTTGCCTAGCAGACAGGAAGATCTGGGTTCCATCTCCAATACCACATAAAACTGGGCATGGTGGTGTGCTTTGGAGGCAGAGTTAGGAGAATCAGAAGTAGCTCATTGTTGCTCTTTGGTACAGAGGGAGTTTTGAGACAGAAACAAGGTTTCAAAGTGGAAAGGAGACCTCTGCAAACTTGGAATTGAATAAAATTGACATCTTAATTTCTAATTGCAAAAAAAGGGTATATTATGGTAAAACTTCAGTTCTTTACCCATAAATGTTACAACTTACTGAGAATTCTTTGCTATGTATGTCACAGTCAAATGAAACTCAAACAAACCTCAAACAGGTACCCTTTTTCTTACTGAATATTTAACTTAGTTTTTAAAATATTTTATTACTATTAATTTTTTATGTGTGTGAGTGTATTGCCTGAATATATGTAAATGCACCCATGTCATACAATGCCTGCAGAGGTCGGAGGAGGGCGTTGAATCCCCTGGAACTGGAGTTACAGATGGTTGTTTAGCCTCCATGTGGGTGCTGGGAATCAAACTCCCATCTTCTGCAAGAGCAGCCAGTGCTCTTAACCACTGAGTCATCCCCCCAGCCCTTAACTTTTTAAAATTACAATATTTTTGCTGCTCTGTGCCTTTCAGGAGTTCAGACCCATGCCCTTGCACATGCTAAGCAAACACTCTACCACTGAGGGGGAAGAGAAAAAAAAAATCCAGGCCAAGTTACAGTTACAAACAAATAATGACTGGTGGGTGGGAGGGTGATAGAGCACTTGACTGGAATGAGCAAGGCCTGGGTTTAATCCCTGGCACTGCAAAAATGTGAATAATCCAGTGTGAGCCTGTCTAGTGGAAGCCAGATCTTCATCTGATAGCATGGAACAAAATTAAGGGCACAGGTAGAGGTATAGTATGTGAATTGGGTTTTGTTTTTGCTTTCTTTTGTCTTGAATTGATATCTTCTCAAATCCTTCTTAATCATATAGCCCTTTCTGAGGCAACAGCTTGTTCAGTGTGTATTTGCTATTTTTTTCCTTGATGGGTCTTAGTTTAAAAAAAAAAAAATAGCCAGGTATGGTGGCACACACCTTTATTCCCAGCACTTGGGAGGCAGAGGCAGGCAGATCTTTGTGAGTTAGAGGCCAGCCTGGTCTACATAGCAAGCAAGTTCCAGGCCAGCTGGGGCTACAGGGAGACCCTGTCTCAAAAGGAAAAAAAAAAAAAAAAATCAATCAATAAATAATAATAAATTATATAGAAAAGTATAGACAAACCCTGCCCTCCTGTCTCTCATATCCCATTTCCCCTATAAAGTATTCAGTTTAAAAAATTGTAGAGGGGCTGGAGATACAGCTCAACGGTTAAAAACACTGGCTCTTCTTGGAGAAGACTCGGGTTCAAATCTCAGCACCCACATGGCAGTTAACTGTCTGTAACTCCAGTTCCAGGGGATCCAACAGCCTCTTCTGTCCTCCACGGGCATTGCACTACATGACATGGGTGCACTTACCTACACGGAGGCAATACACAAATACACAGAAAATAAAAATAATAAAATATTTAAAAAAAAGTTGTAGGTAATGGGGCTGGAGAGATGGCTCAGTGGTTAAGAAAGCTGACTGTTCTTGCAGAAGACCTGGGTTCGAATCCCAGCACCCAGATGGCAGCTAACAACTGTCCATAACTCCAGTTCCAGGGAATCTGACAGCCTCTTCTGTCCTCTGTGGGCATTGTATGACATGGGTGCACTTACCTACAAGCAGGCAATATAGGCATACACATAAAATAAAAATGATAAAATTTAAAAAATTGCAGATAATCTTTTGAGTGTTTCCTTAGACAAGTATAGGCAAATATGAGTATGTTACTTTCCCAATTCTTACATGAGCGGTTGCTGGTAGCCACTTGTATTCATTAACCTGTGCCTGCTTTATTCACCATTTTATTTGATCAGCTCTAGGAAAACACACCATCATTATATGTAACACTAAAACATTCTGTGATGCCGCCAATTACATTGGCACAGTGGTTGCTTATTTCATTGACAAAGTTGTGTTTTCTGTTTCAGAGATGTAAAAAGTTGAGAAAAAAACATGACTTTGCAACAGTATATCCTGGCTCTCTATCAGCTTGTAGAGCTGCTCTTGTTAATCTACCATAGCATACCCAGTCCTAGAGAGGCTTTGGGTTGTTTCTACTTTATTGTTATTACTGTAGTAAATAAGCTTGTGTTATATCAGTTGGTACAGTACAAATATATTTTATATAATAGCTTCTTAAGTGAGAATTGTAGGCTAAATGTGATTATTAAGATATTTCCACATTCCCTGGTGTAGGTGTTGCTCATCCTTAACAAAATAATGGCATTTTGCCAGTCTAGTAATAAATCTTAGTGCTGTTGATGCTATGTTATTGGATTTGAATGTTTAATGTATTTGAATAGCTGTATGTATATCTTTATGAATCATGTAGTCGTGAGTTTTGCCTTTTTTTTCGTTCATTTGTTGACGTTTTTCTAATTTTCTGGTGCTCTGAGGCATCTCTTTGTGAGTAAATTGCAAATATTTTTTCATATTTGTCATTTGTCTTCTGACTTTATGATGGATTTTGCCATGTATGGCTGTTTTAAGTAGTTGTATTATTCCTTTATTTGGGTTCTAGATTATCAGGCATAAGGCTGTCCCATGCTATAAAAGAATCACCCTTGTTCCTCTAACATTTACTACCTTTTGGTCTGTTTAGAATTTATCTTAGTATATAATGTGAACTATGGACCAACTTTTCATCTTTTTCCCCGCGTTAATGCTCCTTTTGCTCAATGATTTAAGCATTGTAGTTTATTCCTAGATTTTGTTCTATCCCCCCATCTCCATGGTAGTTTTTGCTTGTAGAGTTTTTAATATGAACATGCCCAGTTCTAGGGGAGAAAACAGAAAAACTTATTGGTGGGTAGTTGTGTTAAATTTTCAAATTACCAGTAATAATTACACATGGGTTCATTCAGTGGTAGCTGTTCTAATGACAGGTTTAGGAGAAGGCAGGAACCAACAATTCATACAAGTCAATTACTTTTTTAAAAGCCTAAATAAATTGGTAGCTAATACAGGAATCATTTTCTTGATGTTTCTCATCCATTCTATGACTGCACGTTTAGCACTTAATGATTTATAGTAGAAAAGCCTGTGCCATAAAGACAAGAAGAAATGCTTTAATTTTTCAAATAAAGTTTAAGACTGCCACTTTTATGTATTTATTGCGATTAGGTAAAAGTTTTATTTGTGAGAAACTTGGCTACTACAGTGACAGAAGAAATATTGGAAAAGTCGTTTTCTGAATTTGGAAAACTCGAGAGAGTGAAGAAGTTAAAAGACTATGCATTTGTTCATTTTGAAGACAGAGGAGCTGCTGTTAAGGTAGAAATTTTGAAATTTTTCTTACTTGTTTTTTAAACTTGGTAGACACATAAAGTAACTTAGATTTTTTTTTTTTTTAAGATTTATTTTTAATTATTTGTATATGGAGAGGTTTATGTGCTCATGTGAGTGCAGATGCCCTTGGGGTCCAGAAGAGGGTGTCATATCTCCTGGAGTTGGAGTTACAGGCCATTGTGAGCTGTTCAGCATGGGTGCTGGGAGCCAAACTTGGTTCCTCTGCAAGTATTCTTTTTTTGAACTTGCTATGTAGACCAGGCTGGCCTTGAACCCACAAAGGTCCTCCTGCCTCTGTCTCCTGAGTGCTGGCATTAAAGGTATGCACCACTATGCACAGGCAAGATCAGTACTCTTAACTACTTTCTCTTCAGTCCCGTAAAGTAATTGGTTTGAGAGAGAGAAAATGAATATGTTTATATTTGCATCTGTGTTGCTCTAGATGGAACTCAAGCACAACATGCTAGGCAAGTGCTTTCTACAAAGCCATACCCCAACTCTGGCCTTTAACTTTTGCCAAACTGGAACACATGCTCTTGTGGGTTTTGTTTTGTTTTGTTCTCTCTCTTTCTCTCTCTCTCTCTCTCTCTCTCTCTCTCTCTCTCTCTGTCTCTCTCTCTCCTCCCCCTCCCTCTCCTTCCCTCCCTCCTCTCTATCCCCCCCTCTATTTTGAGACAGTCTCAACTATATAATCCTGGCTGGCCTGGAATTTGCTATGTAGACCAGGCTGGTCCTAAATTCAGATCCTCTTGCCCTCTGTCCCCAAGTACTGGGATTAAAGGCCTCTGCCACCTCACCGTGCTGGAACTCTTAATAATGTAACATAACTACATTTGTGATCTCAGGTAAGTTATCTTTTCATTTCTATTGTTTTTGTAAGCCCAACATTTTAGGTAACATGATGCTTTTGAAAATATTACAAGGCACAAAAATTAACTACTGTGCATACCTAAGTAGATAGTAAGTTTGCTGCTTGTTTACTTCAGTTTTTTGTTTGTTTTGGTCTTTTTGAAACAGGGTCTCCCTGTAGTGCCAGCTGGCCTGGAACTCACTATGTAGACCAGGCTGGCCTTGAACTCCTGATATCCTCCTGCCTCAGATTAAAGGCATGCACCATCGTGTCCGATCAATTTAATTTTTTTATCAAAATACTTGGAAAAATCATTGGGACATTGGTTGATTTATTTCCTTCCTTCCTCCCTCCCTCCCTCCCTCTTCCTTCTTTCCTGTCATCCTTCCATCTAGCTCTATGCAAATTCTGGTCAGTTCTCCTGCCTTAGCTTTCCAAGTGTTGAGATTACAGGCATGTGTCACCCCAACCAGCACATTTTTTATGAATAGAGTGTTTTAGTATGCATGCCTAAGGAAGAGGAGGAAGGTTGTATAGAGAAACAAGAGATAATAGTGAAGAAGGAACCTGAAACTTGAAGTATGGCAGCAGTTGTTAAGTAAAGTAACAGGAATAGAGGCTGATGATGCAGGCCTGAATCCCAGCTACTTGGAAGGCTGAGGCAGGAGAATCCCAAGTTCAAACTTGGCCTGGACAACAGAGTATGTTCAAGGCCAGCCTGTCTAGAGTAACTAGTGAGTCTTCTCTAAAAACAAAGGCTGGGACTGTAGCCCATTGATAGTTTGCCTAGCATGTCAAAGGCTCTGGGTTTGATTTCCAACTCCTTTAAAAAGAAAGTATGGTTCTTGCTTTCTTGGTGGTTGCTTAAGGCTTCACTAGCATTTTCTGGATGCTACTTTTAGCTGTGTAGGCATAGTAAATTTTATGTTACATATTGTGAAGGAAAACTAGACTTTTATCAGTATCTTGTTGAATTCCACTGAATTTCATTCAGTAACCTTTCCATTTCATATTCTTGAAACTTCTGTGCATGACCTGTGTATTGGATTACCACATGTTCATTTGAAATCTGAAGAGTTAATTTGGTTTGTATTTTATGCTGGCTTTTCCCCTGCTGTGAATTGTTAAGAACTTAGTTGTTTGAAATTACAGAGTTGCTACAGGCAATTCTTTGATCTTTTGGAACTATAACAGGAAAACATTGATTTTTGTTCTCAGAGTAGTTTATGTATAAGGTAGAAAGAAAGGAGTGCTAATTTGACAAATTAAAATAACAAATTGTTTAGTAAGATGAAATGACACATTTATATTATGCTTTAAAATACTGTTTCTTAGGGCTGGAGAGATGGCTCAGAGGTTAAGAACACTGGCTGTTCTTACAGAAGACCTGGGTTCGAATCCCAGCACCCACATGGCAGCTAACAACTGTCTGTAACTCCAGTCCCAGGGGATCCGACAGCCTCTTCTGTCCTCTGAGGGCATTGCCCCGACATGGGTGCACTTACCTACATGCAGGCAATACACGCATACACATAAAATAAAAATAAATAAAATTAAAATACTGTTTCTTAACCGGGTATGGTGGCAGAGGCAGGTGGATTTCTGGTCAGGCTGGTCTGTATAGCAGGCTCCAAGTAAGCTGAAGCTACAGGGAGACCCTGTCTCAAAAAGACCAAATAACATAACATAACATACTGTTTCTTTATAGGATAAATTTATTTTTATTATTTCTTACAGGCTATGGATGAAATGAATGGAAAAGAAATAGAAGGGGAAGAAATTGAAATTGTCTTAGCTAAGCCCCCAGACAAGAAAAGAAAAGAGCGTCAAGCTGCTAGACAGGCCTCTAGAAGCACTGCGTGAGTTTGTATTTTATTAGCTAGGTCTTTGAATAAGGAGTGACTTAACAGTGATCACGTTATGAAGTCAGGATGAGTCCTGAAGTAAACTCATCTGTTATTCTGTTTCTCCCTCCCTTCCATCACTAGGTATGAAGATTATTACTATCACCCTCCTCCCCGAATGCCACCTCCAATTAGAGGCCGAGGTCGTGGCGGAGGGAGAGGTGGATATGGCTACCCTCCAGATTACTATGGTTATGAAGACTACTATGATGACTACTATGGTTATGATTATCACGATTATCGTGGAGGCTATGAAGACCCCTACTACGGCTATGATGATGGCTACGCAGTAAGAGGAAGAGGAGGAGGAAGGGGAGGGCGAGGTGCTCCACCACCACCAAGGGGGCGGGGAGCACCACCTCCAAGAGGTAGAGCTGGCTATTCACAGAGGGGGGCACCTTTGGGACCACCAAGAGGCTCTAGGGGTGGCAGAGGGGGTCCTGCACAACAGCAGAGAGGCCGTGGTTCCCGTGGAGCTCGGGGCAATCGTGGGGGCAATGTAGGAGGCAAGAGAAAGGCAGACGGGTACAACCAGCCTGACTCCAAGCGTCGTCAGACCAACAACCAACAGAACTGGGGTTCCCAACCCATCGCTCAGCAGCCACTTCAACAAGGTGGTGACTATTCTGGTAACTATGGTTACAATAATGACAACCAAGAATTTTATCAGGATACTTATGGGCAACAGTGGAAATAGACAAGTAAGGGCTTGAAAATGATACTGGCAAGATACGATTGGCTCTAGATCTACATTCTTCAGAAAAAAATTGGCTAAACTGTTTCATCTTTAAGTAGCAGTTCGCTGCCATTTGTATTGAGCTGAAGAAATCACTATTGTGTACATACTCAAGTCTTTTTATTTTTCTTTTCATAAATGCTCTTGGACATTACTGGGCTTGCAGAGTTCCCTCATTCTGGGGTTACAGTGCTTTTATCATTTCAGGATTCATTTTAGCTTCAGAACAAGCTGTTAAATCATGATTTTGCAGAGCCTTTGGTTTGGACAGTTTTGTTTTTTTGGATTTGGAATAGATTCCATAGGAGTATGAAGTATGCTGTAAATAAAAGTACAAGCTAGTGCTTTGTCTTAGTAGTTTTAAGAAATTAAAGCAAACAAATTTAAGTTTTCTTGTATTGAAAATAACCTATGATTGTATGTTTTGCATTCCTAGAAGTAGGTTAACTGTGTTTTTAAATTGTTATAACTTCACACCTTTTTGAAATTCTGCCCTACAAAATTTGTTTGGCTTAAATGTCAAAGCCGTGACAATTTGTTCTTTGATGTGATTGTATTTCCAATTTCTTGTTCATGTAAGATTTCAATAAAACTCAAAAATCTATTCAAAACATTACCTATTTCAAATTCAATTGTGTCCTAAAACATTATTTTATTTGTAATCCTTGCAAGGAATACTGTTTTCAAAGTATAACTGCCTATGTGAGTGATCAAATTCATGCAAAATTTGTCTTTTCCAACATGTATTGTGGATATCAGATTGAGAATTAGTCTAAATTCAAGTATTCCAAATAGCATTTTATTGATTGATGTTTCCTCATAATCTCTTCTAATTTTGAAATTTTATCCATAAAAAGAAAACAAAACAGATTCAGAGGTCTTTGAACAGGTATTGGATAATTCGATAATTTGCATTAAAGTGGAGCTGGGGAAGCAGACTGCAATTTATTCTGACCCACATTCTTCCCATATCAAGGATAATTTGTGACTGAAGACCTTATTGGCTGGATAAGTGAATGAACAGACAGAGAAAACTTAGTATTGTGGCATCATTTGCACTGCGGACTAAATTCAAGTTTTAGTATTCATGATCAACACAACCACTTCAGTTATTGGTTTAGGAACATAATTTCCTATTGCTATATAAACTTGCTTTTGGAAGCTGTCTTGCCTTATAAAAGGCTTTTAAATATCTAGTAGTTATAGCTCTTTCTGTTAATACCTCTTTATTTTTATATTTTTACTATGTCTAATGGCTAAATTTTTGTTGGCCAAGTGATAACATCTATTTCCTTAAGAAATTTTGATATAGTCTAATGCCTTTTTTGCTTCAGAATGAAAGAGAAAAATAATATAAATTTCACAGGGCAAAAAGGTTGGGATCACTTTGAATTTATTTTTTTCTTTTGGTGCTGGGAACTGAACCCAGGGCCTTGCACATGCTAAACATACATTCTACTATTGAGCTTTACCCCTATCCCCTTGAAAATATTTTTAATTATAAAAATATAAGCCACTGGAAATAATTAAAATGAATGCTCTCATTTTATTCTTTGTTCCTGTTTGGTGTCTTTTGTGATAGCCATATAATTTTTGAAATCATAAGCCATTTAAATTGCTTGTGAGCATGGTTAAATTATATTTTGGGTTTTATGTCTTTATTTTGAATTTTAAAATTAACATTTGCTGATGGAAACCAACATATTTCTTTTTCAAAGTTTGCTCATACAGTATAATAATTCAACAGGTCTTATTAATGGTCTTTTTCTAGAAGTTGATTAAGAAATTATGTGGCCTGTTGTAGTTGCAAGTTAGCATGAGTGTTCTTTGGTAGGGTTTATTTAGATTCTGAATTTTTTTTTTCCTATGCCCAGCCCATGTATATAAGCAAAGACACCAAATAATCTTTAAATGCTGCTTTTAAACCTTGAAAATAGAATTCGAAGCTTTCTAAGTCTAAATTGAACTTAGCTAAAACACCAGTTTTTCCCGGAAAGAACAAAATGTACACGTAAACTTGGAGTTAAGATTGATGTATATGGGCTTGTGAGATGGCTCAGTAGGTAAAGACACTTGCTGCCAAGCCTGATGATCTGAATTCAAGCCTCAGAACCCACATGGTGGAAAAGAGAAAACTGATTACCACAAGCTTTCCTCTAACTTCCGTAAGTGTACTGTGGTGTACACACATGCACACATGTGCACATACAATTACCACAAGTTGTCTTCTTACTTCATAAGTGTACTGTGGTATACACACATAAATAAATGTAAAAAAGTTTTTAAAATTAGATGTTTCTGTTAGTCACAAAGGAGAGATGGAAATGAATCTGAAAAGACAGTTTACTGTGCTTCTCCTCTAAAATACAGACCTTAGAAAAACAGTAAAATTCAAGTTCCATTTCAAAAATCCTTTAATTGTACATTATGTTTTGAATTAAATGGACACTTCCTTTTCTGTCCCTTTCACTAATTAGAAATATGTCTGCAGAGGCTTCCTTTAATATTTATGCTAATTGGGTTTTACTTATTTAACTTAAAAGCATAACCCTATAAACAAAATCTCTATAGAGTTTTTCCTACTTGACATCTAAATTATCACTTAGAGCAGCAGCCTTTGGAAAAATCAAGTGTTCAACATTTTATAGAACTCTTAACACTATGTAAACCTGAAACATGTCAATTGAGGAAAGCATTGTAGATTTGTACTAGGAAATTTTTAAAATTTATTTTTAAATAGGCATAAATTATGAGTTCTGAGGAATTTGACTTCCTGTTCTACCTTTCCACACCCCCCTCCCTTTTTTTTAAACAACTCCCAACCTGATTGATACACTCAGCTAGGAGCCTGTTACGCTAAAGGATGTATTGTAATGCCTATGTTGAGGTGGACCTTTTTGTAGGTATCCTCCTGACATGAACAATACCCTCCTTCCCCATAATGGAATGCTAATTTTTATTTGATCACTCATTTATAGCAGTTGTTTAAATGTGTAGATTTATATGAAGGTGTTCTAATTAAAAACTGAAAAGTTTTAATAAGTTGCCAGATTTTAATAAATTCAAGTTTACCCATCAAAAAATAAGAAAAATGAGTTATGGTTTTATAGGTTTTTTGTTTTTTTAAACAAAGACTTCAGCATAATTGTTTTTCATTTTTCTTAGTTACTGGGGTTATTCTGCAAAAGAAAGCCCAATGCTCTCTCCTAGTTATGGATAATTTTTCTCATTTGATTTTAGGATGTGAACCCTCTTAACAAAGATCAGCATGCATCAAAATAAATGACGTATTTTAAATTATAGAAGAAAAGGGTTGTAAAATTCCACTCCTGGCATAAAGCCTTACAAAATTATTCTTGAAACTCATATCATTTGCCTCCTGCCCACTTGAATATAATCATACCTATATTTTATTAATTGTGTATTATTTGTACAGCCAAACCCTTCCAGTAGATACTTGCTATAAGGCTATTCCCTATTTGTTACAAAGACTTGTAAATTTGTTAAAATTTGCCATTTATATTTTTCAAAGAGAATTTTATTATACTAAGCTGTTTAGTATTCTAAAGAAAACTAGCTGTGCTTACTGTTTGTATTGTACTTTATCGTTTAGTCTTTTCAAGTGAGCAGCTAAGAAAAAGCCTTATAGAAAGAGTGTACTGGATGTACAAATGTGTTTATGTTTCTCTAAGAATGGGAGCTTCTGTTAACTTAAGGGCAGAGTTCGGAGGAAACCAGTGGATTGGATGACTGACTGGCGAATCCAGAACAACAAATCTACTAACCAGACAGGTTTACTTTTCATTAGAAGTGTGTTGATGAGGTCTTACTTTTGAAATGCAAACACTAATTTAAAAATATTATTTAATATATTGGTCAGTAATTAATACAAATATTTAATTTGAAGTACTTATTTTAGAAGTATTTTTCTTTCTTATAACACACGTTTATATGTATATTATTTTGAGGTTACCAGAAGCTCTGGTTTTGCTTTGATTCTTTAATCATTTTCAGATATTGTCCAGAAATCTGCAAGTGTACTTTTCCTGTTTTAACTCCTTCCTTTTATCACCTGACTATCAGGGAAGCGATGTTGAGGCTGCCCTGACCTGACATGTCATGATGTCGACTTGCTAGGTGGGGTTCGCTGGGGACGATAACCAGTGGAACTGTTGGTAAGAACTTTTTTTTTCCTACTTTTTAAAATCAATAGTGGGGCATTAATTGTGGAAGAATGCTGCCCATATGTGGCAGTTATGTTGGCCTTATAGAAAAATAAGATTTAATATAAACCTATTCTCAGTAGGAACATATAATAAGACTTTCACTCATTCTCAGCTTAGTGGATCACCTGGAAAGGCCTGCAAATAGTAGTAGGGAAATAGTGAAGGTATTATTTATCAAGATAGACACCTTACAGTCTAGAACATCTGTTGGAGAGATAATGAAGTTGCTTTATTTTATTGTGATGTTTGTCTCTCTGGTATCATATTTATTATATTTTTGTTGGGTAACAGTGTAAAAGCATTTTAAACTTTACTGTGTGTACTACTTTAGTTAAAATTGGAAGGTATTACTAGACTGGAAGGTTTTTAATTCTCTAAAATCTTAATATTGTAAAATTAAACTTGAAAATTTTAGCAATTTAATTTAGAGGTAAATTGGTGTAATAAATTTGAGTCAAGAGGAAATTAGGTAGCTAAAATTTTAAGACCTTGAACATGAACAGAAGCACAGATGTGGAGCTGAGAGTCTAGCTCCGTTACAGAGCTTATACTTACCATGCTTCAGCACCCCCACTTCCCCTGCCCCCGCACAAAAACCCGTAAACCTCTCAGCTGATAGGATTAATAAATACTGATAACACGATTTCAGATTCGTGCTACAGAGTAAATCTTGTGCTGGAAGTGGTGCCACATGCCTGTAATCCTAGCACTTGGGACGCTGAGGCAAGATGATTGTCAGTTGCAGGCTAGCCTCAAAAAAACCAAGGCTAATTTGTAGTTGCTCGGTAGAGCACTTGCTTAGCATATCTGAGGTCCTAGGTTCAATCCTCAGTACTAAAAACAATTTAAGGAAAAAAAACCTCCCATTTTTCACTCTAGGGAATTTCATGATGGTTGAGTAGAAATTGAAGAAAACAAATTCAGTAACTAGAAATTTCTGGTTTTTCCATACAAATATAATTGGAATATAATTTGTAACACTAATTAAAGATGATTATGGATTTTCATGCCTGAAGAACCTTCTTGGTATTCTGGTGGAGCCTTTCCTTCTTTTTCGGTCATAGGCGTTGCACATGTGCTGGTCAGCATTGACTGTCATCGCTTATCTGTATGTTTGCTGTAGAATAGCTGGTTGCATATCACTAATACAGGAAGAGTCGTAGCAACTTCAGTGTTGTTAAGGTGTTTGATTTTCTTCGGACACGTTATGCATGTATCTATCACTGATAGAAAAAAAATCAGGGTCTAGAACTTTTCATGATTGCAGTAAAAGGCATGCTTCTTGGGAAGTTTTATGGTGATAGGAACACTCAATTCTGATGAGTCTGTGTAAGTTAGAAGACATACAGTACAAATTTGTTGACCTTATTTATTTGTAACAAAGT